GCGGAGCTAGAAAGGAGAAAAACCCTTTTTAAAATTATATTTTCAAGAAATTTTCAAATACTAGCTTTCAAATATCATTTGAGCAAGAAAATGACATCTTTGAAAATGTACCAAAAATAAAAGTTGCTTAGAATTTAATCCTCTACATCTTTTCTTTTATGACCAAAGTCCAATTCTATCTAGATTTTGAATTATAAAAGTTAAAGTCAATTTTAACTCAAAACCCTAATTTTGGAGAATTATTTTTAAAAGCGAATTTGGCAATAATTGCAATACAAACTTTACTCCAAAAATTAAGCTAAATAATTTTAGATGATTTACAATCATAACTAAACAAGTTCTACTAACCTAGCAAGCATGATTAGGGCCAAAAAACAACCCTAAACAAGTGTATGCAACATTTCGTTTCACAAGCATGTTTCGTATGTTTCGAAGCAGGGTTTCAATTATTATTTACATGATTAGGCATGTAGGATTATGATGCTTGATGATGCATGATATGCATGATTTGCAGTGCCTAAATGCTGGCATAACACCGGGGTGTTACAGGGAAGGGGGAAAGCCTCCGCAGCTCAATAGCCTTGAATAAAATTGAGGAACAGGGCCCGCCTGCGTCAGACCATGCCCTCAAGGGGGGAACTGTTGCGACACGGTTATAAGCTGCGAGAGGCTAAGCGCTTACAGCAATAGGAAATAGCTAGCTAACGGTTTGCTTGAGTGATGTGAAGGAAGTTAGTCAAAGGCCTTCGCCCTGCGCAGCCCACGATCCGTGAAGGTCACCCGGATCCTGACGAAGGCTTGCCTAGATAGCACGAGGTGGAGGCTGTAATGCGGTCTCAATGCTGAGGCGATGGCCCACCTGCAGTGAAACAGACCTTCGAGCGGAGGCTTCTCGGGCGAGATCATGAAGGACCCTCAAAGACCTCCGCCCGGCAAGGAGGAAGTTCGCATGGGAGCACGACACCGGGCTATGGGCACTTTGCAAGCCAAGGTAGGTGCGGCCCAAGAAGCGAGAAGCGGTTTGAGGAGAGAATACCTAGGATACCCCTAGCAGTTTGTCTTGGTGGGGGATATTCTGGAATATTATGACTAAGGGCCAAGGATGTAAAGTAGGAAGGTAGCTAACGATTGTCCTATAAAGAGGGACTTGAACCACTGTGTAGAAGGGGTGGGTGAATACGTTTATGAAGCCCTAATTGCGTCTTGCCCCACCTACCATTCTCTCTCAGCCTTACGCCTAGGACCCGACTCCACCACTTCATACACCTTTCAAAACCCTGTTTTCCAACAATATCCATTAATTATGGTACATATATTTATAAATTACATATTTTTACCATTGCAAAAGTTAAAGGTAAGCATTGCTATCTCCATATCGACCAAAAATAAAGATATATACATTTGGATAAATATTTATTTTTAATAGCTTATCAACCGTGAAAAATTAATGTCTTCACTAAACACATAGTATTGACTCTAACAAATCACTTTAGGTTATATTGATACTCCATGATAACAAATTTCATAAGTTATTTTCTTGAATAATTTATACATTCAGACTGAAGCATTATGCCATATCAGTATGATTTTAAGCACTCCATATATATTAAAAAACTGTTTAAAGACTCAAATATCCCCTCAAGTCTACATCTAAATTGTAATAATCTGCTTCTAAAAAATTGAGTAACCATAAAGCATATATGTTTCTACATTACCTACTTCTACTAATATTAGTACATTATTTTTTTTGAAGTAAACATACATTTTGAGCAATAAATATATATGTTATGTTTTAGTAATCATGAAAAATATTTTCTTAACAACTCATATACCAATGATACTAACTCATATACCAATGATAGTAACTAATTATTTAAAATACTAATTATCCCAGCATATTTATGTAAGTTGTTACTTAAATATATTTATACATTTCTTGAATTATCTATATTACATATGTTATGTTTTAGTAATCATGAAAATTATTTCCTTAGCATCTCATATACCAGCAATACTAGCTAATTATATAAAATTATATTAATAATCATGACATATTTATCTAAGTTGTTACGTAGATATATTTATACATTTCTTGATATACCTATATTAACTGTAGAACCATTATTGTACATTATTATTTCTAGATATTAAAATGCAAAGGTGGCTTTATAATTCTAGCCTTCAAAGATTCCTTTAGGGTAAACAGTGGTTATGAGGCATAAACATGTAATATCCTCTTGAGATTAGCATGTTCAATCCTAGATCTCGCATCAGGCTCTACCACAGATCCTAAGCAATGAGGGTTGTTGGTTTTAAATCGTTCTTTAGTCATTATATAATACTTAAGAGTGAAATCTATGACCTAAATACTTATTAAGGGTAAAAAAAAGAAGAGTTAATAAGCACATGAGTGTCAAGTTAAGTTCAGGATAATAAACTATAGGGACAAGCAAGATTTAATTTAAAAAACAAAATTTAGATTGACGATGTCATAAGATATGGGCTGTAACAAGATCACCATAGTTTAAGCTAAGGTTTCTACTAAGTCCATACCGAAGGTACACAAAATTGCCATGCAAAGGAAAAAATATTATTGATATGGATGAAAAAAATATAGATCAATGATCGATATTTTTACCACAATCGGATAGAGATGGTAAATTATCTATTTACGCTAATTGTGTTAGAAAATGAACAAAAGAAAACAGTACAATTTTATATAAGTAACTTTTATCAACCAAATATATTAAATAGCAACTGATGCATATGCCTCCTAAGATTTTAGCCCGTGCGGGAGCACGGATTGATGAACTAGTATTAAAAATTGAAATTCTTTTTCATATGAGCTCATAAAGTGATTAACTTTGTATGAACACTGTACATCTCAAGGTCATCTATAATTTGTAGAGACGTACACCTCTACAAATAATATAGCTGCCTACTGTATGCGTTGAAATGCATGTGCCCTGCTGCTCTGATCTGGTAATGGTGTACCCTGGATGTCCTCAGCACCCAGCTGGCAGGCATCTTCATACCGTAATATATATGTAGTTTCCACCACTGCCAGAGCAGCAGCAGCAGGTGAACGTTTCTTTTCTCATTTTATAAAGTACTGTACACTGGAAACGATGACGACTGGCTACCCATAGCACGTTAACGATGGTTGTATTGTATGCCAGCCATTTGCGTGCCTGACAGAAATCCACACTTAACGGCAAAACCACATGTGCCGACGCTTTAAAATTTGTTCCGTAATGTAAGTACATATGATGCATTATTAGATATGATTTTTTTAGGGGAGCCAAGAGTTGAGTTGTCGGGTAGATGTGCTGGCAAGGCACATCATTGGATCGCTCAAGACTAACAGCTCCACATCATATTCAACCGATGCGAGCGGGGTCACGGACCAAGCAAGGGATACTTGCACAACGCACAAAGCAAGCAAGCAACATCGAGAGCCAATTTCAAAAAAAAAAATCTCAAGAGCCATGGAGCTGGTGACTGGAGCCATGGGCAGCCTAATCCCCAAGCTCAAGGACCTGCTCAAGGAGGAGTACAAGCTGCAGACAGGAGTCAAGGATCAAGTCAGGTCTCTCGAGCTGGAGCTCGAGAGCGCCCACGCTGCGCTCCACAAGGTGGCCAAGGTGCGTCCAGATCAGCTTGACGAGCTCGTCAAGATCTGGGCGCGCAGAAGTCCAGGAGGCGTCTTATGATATGGAGGATATCCTCGACCATGTGTGGTGGAGGAAAATGGTTGGGTGGAGTTAACTGTGGGGGAGCTCCAGAATTAAGTGATTAGTGTGGCAGTTTATATTATATGAAAACAAGTGCAATTAAACTATTTTAGTTTGACTTCTAGAACGAAAAAGGTATAATTCCTTTTAAAGCTGTTGTTTCCACTACTACAATTTGAATCGTCATTGCATATTTTCTTGCAGGCATTATGAACTCTCTATATTATAATTAAGTATTGTCGGTTAATTGCTGGCTAGTTAGAAAGATTAGTCAAGAAGTGACTATTTATGTTATTGTCTGAGTATGCCTTCAACTATTATTCTTGGTGATGACACACTTTATTGCTTTCTGGGAACCAGATGGCTTTAGTTTCTGATTGCTGTAACCCTTTCATGTGCATAGGTATTTTATCATTATTGATGACATATAGGGGAGCCACAGACTTGGGAAAGAATCAAACTGGCTCTTGTTGAGAATAACCATGGAAGTAGAATAATCACAACTACTCGTAAATTTCAAGTTGCCAAAGAAGCTGATGAGGTTTACAAGCTACAACCACTTTCTCATGACAACTCCAAAAGGTTGTTTTATATAAGGTTATTCGATCATGAGGACAAATGTCCAAATAATCATCCAGCACGAGTTATCTAATGCGATTCTAAAGAAATGTGGTGGAGTTCCATTGGCTATCATCACAATGGCTAGTATACTATTGGAAGAGAAGAATGGATTGAGGTGTGCAACTCTCCTGGTTTCTATGGAGATAAGGATGGAAGGCATATGGACAACACTTCGCTCCGGAGTGTAGCAGCCGCCAATGCCAATGCGGCCCCACGACGAACACGCGTGCGAATCACTTGATAAACTGCCTCGGGACATTCCCAAAGGCTCCTCTACACTCACCCCGCCGACAAAACACGCGTCAATATCACCACCACACCTCCAGCAAGGCAGCGTGGCGGTCCCGATATTGACCAGCCTCACTATCACGCGGCGGATGAGTCAGCCGCAACATCGTCATGTTCGCGCTCCGCCTCGCCACCTGCTTTCGGTTAGAATGGCGTTGGCATCGCGAGGCCTCGCCACCTTGCCTTGGGCAGCGCCCAGTTGCTCTCGGGGCGGCGGGAAGCATAATCTAAGCAACCACTCATCAAGACAAGACATCTTCAGAAGGGTGAACAGGGAATCTCGCCAGGAAGTTACCAAAAAGTTGCGCTTGGGCTTCGGCACGAGACGCCACTGCGACGGCCGCCTCCCGCTCCGACCTAGTCGTCGCTTCTTGTATGGCCTCCAACTACGCTCGGAGACGGCTCGCTTCATCCTCGGCCATCGCAACTGCCGGCGGAGCTGCGGCTTCCACCGCCGTAGCACCGCCCGGCGATTCGGGAGGACTCGCGTCGTCAAGCACAGGAAGCCTAGAAGAACACCCAGTGAGAAGAAGTTCAAAGCCACAAGTTCACCCGATTCGGGTCGGTTCAAGAACTTACCCGACAAAAGCAGGACGGATGGGCGGATAGCGCTCGCCCGTCGCCCATCTAGAAACCGCCGCCCTCGAGCTCCCCACGCTCTCCATCAGATCGGATCTAAGGGGATAGAGGTGGAAGAAGACGAAGAATTAAAGAAAGGGAGGTAAGCTCAACAGTGCTTACATAAAATTATGCCCATTTATGCCTCCCCCTTCTTTATATAAGCAGGCAACGGCCCACGGATGGCATCCCAACCGTGCAATCTTGTGCATGGGAAAACGAGCCACAAACACTGATGCTCTAGCTCCCGGTAAGCAAACTCACCCACGGATCCCAGCGTCTGTTCTCAATATACCCTCACCCGAGCCGGTGTAGGTGAGTGATCTGACACTCAGAACGACTACTTGGCCTGGCTCACCCATACAGCAGGTGTAAGCGGTAGTGACTCGTTCACTATCGAACCTGCCCCTACTAGAGTCAGGGAGGTATCTCGGGGGTCACCAGTACAATCCTCAAACCTTTGGCACTCAGTGTCACGGAAATCCCTCAATACCCGGAAGAGCTCAAAGTACCCTACTTCAGCGGACGTGTGCCCCTTTGCGGGAAACCAGAAAACTGGTTGGCCCACGGCTGTAACCAAAAGTCTGAGCTCACGGAATCGGAAAAAAGAGTTTTATGTTGTGCCCCGCTGGTCGGGGCTTTGTCCTGCCAATTCCTTTCGATGATAGCGGACGTTCACTCGTTCTACCCGTTACCAGCTCGAAAAGTAAAAGCGCAACAACCAACAGCTGCTCACAAGTTCGTTACTGCCACGGTGGTGCCCGGCCCGACCTGCACTGTTATAATGGCCTCGTGGCTCAGAAAACGTCCTCGCTCTTCCACTAATGAGGCTCACGAAAATTGAATCACGTTACTTGGCCGGTTTCAAAGAAAAAGCGTGGCGCCCTTAGTGCTCGTTAACAAACGACCTACAATAGGTGCACCTATCCCATCCTCATTATTGTTTTACTGGCTAGGACTTAATGATGCGCAACCACTAATTACATGCGGAATACGTCCGGAACCTACTTCTCAAGTACAGCGATATTTTTTACCCTAGCATGGCATCTATGATGTCCTAGAGGCTATGCTTTTGGTTATCGGGTACACCACCCGAACACGACGTTAACAATGGCCCGAGGGCCACGTCCGAAACTATGTTTTCCGATATGTGGTGCACCACCCAAGCCGAGCACTTACACCTGCCGGAGGCGACATTCCTTGATGTACGGTGCACCACCCGCCTCACTCGATGCTTGAAGAAGATTCTCGCTACCCAAGAAATGCTCTTGGTACTCGGCGACAACATATCTGGCTCCCCAATACTTGGGAATTTTAGCTACACTGCTTGAAACTTATTTTTGAAGATGCTCACTATGTACTCGATCTGCAGAACTTACAGGGGAGACTACGACGTTCCTAGGTCTTGAAGATTCGTGCTAGCTTATCATTAAGTCCTATGGGGGCTATTGTCAGAGACATGGGCCAAGGGTACCTGCGCCGCCCGTATATATGACGACCACCAAGCTATCAGTCCAGCAACCGTCAAGGGGAGGCCTGCAAGGGCTGACGCGATCAACCAACGTGGAGATCAAGGCAAACCAAGGCACAATCGCCCTCTATGGATGATAGCTAGGTTCAATCTATTGTAACAAACTAGGAACACAATCTGTTAGCCCGATCGTCCTCGATGTAACCCTACCTCTCCTGCCTATATAAAGGAGGGTAGGGACCTCGAGCATGGGATCCATCTTCCACCTATTCCATCTACATCGTCGCTAGGAGTAACAACCCCTATAAATGAGCATACGAATACAAGAGCAGCCGCACCACTAGAGTAGGGATTAGCGCGCAACGCGTCCCGAACCAGTATAAATCTCTGTGTCTCGTGTGCTACCAAGTGATTCCGTCTACGATCACGTTGCTGGATATTGCGGGAGCAAAACAATTCGACACATAGAAATAGCTAGAGCCGTCCCTACAAATCGTATGTGTAGTAGTGTAGCGGCGTCTAGTGAGAATTAACGTAGTAGTCTAGCGCGTCTTTAACTGGTTGCTAGCCAACTAGGTAGCAAACCATAGCTAATTTGGACTAATTTTTTAGCCCTACTAATAACTATTTATGTGTATGCAAACCCGCCTTTACACGGCAGACGCTTCCCACAGAACACCTTTTTTTTTCAGAAGACCCAGCCGGCCCAAACCAAAACAGCCCAGCTGGCTCAGCACAACACCCAAACATTTCCTGGACAATACGGCCGTAGTAGTTGCGTTGTTTTGGTTTGGATATCTCAGCCGGACTGAAACCCCACATTAAAATAACATACCACAGGCACATATATATACTGGTACAAAAGGTTAATTATGCTATCATGTTCGTCCAAAGTAGCTAGTTCATTTGAATGACGACTTGGTAGGGAAACGAATCTGTTGGGATGAACATGGGGTCATATACTGTTGCACACATTAATTTATATGGAACGTTGGTACACTGCTAATAATAAGTTTAACCTTACCAATGGAACGTTGGTACACTGCTAATAATAAACACAACGGCAATACGTAGAGATGTGTGCGTGTTGCCGGCCACGTGAGTACACCGTCCACACTCGTGAAGCGTAAACTACAAAACTCGACCACATGGCTTGGTACACTGGAAACGATGACGACTACCCAGTGAAGCACGTTAACGTTTTCGTGCCTGACAAAGATCCACACTTAAAGGCAAAGCCATGCGCCGATCAATGCGCGCACATGATCATATCCATCGCATCAGAAACGTTGCTGTGCCAGGTTTGCAAGTCAATGCGCTATTGTCAGCGAGAGACAAGCAAGCCCTGCCCTGGTGATTTCTAAGGCTCTACGAAAACCTTTGCAAGATAGTAATACGTACATTTAATTCTTTAAAAAAAAATACGTACATTTAACGCTCGCCCCTCCGCTCGCTTGAGAGGCACTGGCGCGTGCCGCTGGGCTTCTCCTCCCGGGCGCCGCCGCCACCGAGATCGTCCACTGTCGCTGGGCTCCTCTTCCCGCGCGTTGCGGCGTCCGAGATCCGCCGCCGCCGCGGAGCCCCTTCCCTGCGCGCGGCCGCTGGAGGCTGGACTCCTCCCCACGCGTCGCCGACTCCGCGCTTCGTGCTCCGCTGCTGGGCTCCACCTCCCCGCGTGAGCTCAGAGATCCTCCACTGCCGGGCTGCTCCTCACGCGAGCTCCGATATCCTCCGCTCACTACAGAATGGACTTATTATCCGGGGTAACGGCCTTTAGTCCCAGTTACCACGCCGGGACAACGATCTCGGGACTAAAGGTGCCACCTTTAGTCCCGGGTCATCGAGCCGCGACTAAAGAGGGACCTTTAGGCCCTCTAGCCGAGCAAACGTGGTCGCACTCTTTAGTCCCGGTTGGTAACCTCAACCGGGACTAAAGGTTCTTTTTCTTTTTCTTTTTTTTTGTTTAATTTGTTTTCAGTTCAGTTACACGTATTTGTTTAATATATAATATGTTTTTATGTACGTATTCTATGCTGCTAATATAAATACACGCACGCATATAATTACATCTAATTCTCATCTCGAGCATTATTATATTCAAATAAAGTATGAACCTATATATATTATAGATATATATATATGTATATATACAACACTTTTATAATCTTGTTCTCAAAAATAACGATATCAATAAACATTTAATTTACACCATTTA